GGCACAAACAGTCTGCACCCCACCTTTTCTCAAGATAATCAGAAGGGGTGAACTTCAAAGCAACTGAGGCAGTCCAAGAAGAAGCATATCCATGTAAACAGAGCACCTTCCTCTTACTGTTAGCTAAACAACTTGCTTTTCTATCTTCTAAAGTTTGTGGCTCAACTCAAGTTATTGTCATCATTGCCCCTTTCTGATTGCTAGTGCCATATCTGATATTAATCTTTTTGGAAAGCAGGTTTTTGAATGGCCCAATGTGATTCTTTGCATAGAACCTATTAAACCACTTCCATAAGCCATCCAAACAAGGTTTGCCCGTACAAATACAACCACACTAATTAAATTTTGAATGTTTGCCATGCTATGGACTCAATTATTGTTGGATTGGAAGATAACAAATATATCATGTGCATAGACTACACTCTAGTAGTGGCCAAGAATGGTGGTAGCATAAAATGGGGGAGGGGGGGGAAAGAGGCCAGATTGGATCTAAATAACCTCACTGTAAATTGGAATGAACCATACCTAGCCTTGCATATCATGCTGTACATTTTTCTTACTCTCTGTATTTCTTCTTCATAAAGAAGTTAGAGACCCATCAAAAAGGAATATGAAGATAACTTTGAAGTAGAAATGCAATAGCGTTTATGTAAACAGAAGTTTAATTAAGAAAGAGGAGAGGTGGTGGTCAAGATTGTGCTATCCTGATCTTCTTTGATATATGAAGAAAGACAGAGAAACTCTATCAGGCTTTCAAAATTCAGTTTTTTATTGCTACATTACTTATCTTGATCAATGAAGAAGGCCTCTGCTACAGTTCAATACCAAAGCAGAGGAAGTTCCCTCTAACTCACAACTGATGAACCCAACCAAGTCAGCAGTCTGAGATAATCAGATTTCTCAAAGAACTGTTTTATTGAGTACAACATTTCAGCACACATGAAAGCAAAACCAACGCTAACTATTTCCCAAAGTTCTAGTATAATTAAAGAATAGATATTCCCCTACCTCCTTGTCACCGGTCACATTGTCCAATTAGATGTTCTGGCGCCTTCCCTGGCAACTCCTTCCAGTCTCTGGCCAGCACCTGTTAAGATGAACTTGGTTCCCACGGGATGATCTGTTGTTATTCTCTGAGCTGACATTCCAAGCTTCTTCCCCACCCCCAATACTGTGTGGCGAGCTGAGAAATGAAAAGATGGCTACGGCAGCCTAGATCCATTTCAAAATTGACAGGTGCATCTAAAGCTTCTACTTTTTGCCCATCTATCCAGTTTTTATCTCCTTTCCAGATAGCTCATATGCAAAGCAGAAATCTTTTATTAATCCTTATTTCCTGCTTTGTAGTTTTCCTGTTGTTTGTGGGGAAGTGGGGAAGGATGGTGTACGGCTTTGGACTTCTCAGAAAAAAGAATATTTGAACTAAATTTGAAAATTTCAGAGGAAGATTAACACTCTGTAATCACCAAATTACTGAAGACTATGCATTGATGTTTAACTTACAAGTTCTATATGCAAAAGAACCATGCACTTCCTCTAAAAGAGTAAAAGGAATTAAATGCTTCTTTTAAAAACTTCGTTTCATAGAAGTCAGAGGGCTCTTCCCTTCAAAATAAGATTATTTAGTTAGACTGGTTTCCAATGTTTATGAAAAGAATCATACTATTACAGTGTTTCTCAACTTTAGTAACAATAGCAATAGCACTTAGACTTATATACTGCTTCATAGTGCTTTACAGCCCTCTCTAAGCAATTTAGAGTCTCAGCATATTGCTCCCAAAATCTGGGTCCTCATTTTACCAACCTCAGAAGGATGGAAGGCTGAGTCAATCTTGAACTCTGTCAGGATCAAACTCCTGGCAGTGGGTAGTTAGCCTGCAATACTGTATTCCAGGGATGTCAAACTCATGTATCATGTCATCATGACGTGACATATCATGAATTTTCCCCCCTTTGCTAAATTGGGAGTGGGCGTGGCCAACGTGTTACACATCCAGCCTTCTGGCCACAAATTTGACAGCTCTGCTATATTCTAATAGCTTGAAGATGTATGGACTTCAACTCTCAGAATTCCCCAGCCAGCAGTACTACTGCTGTACTATTGTACTATTATACTACTAAGATGGCAATGCTCAGGTACCAAGTATGGAAATCAGCAGACCCCAACATTTGCCGAGTATAAAAAGAACATTACAAAGAACTTGGTGGGAAGAGAACAGTCAAATGAACATTTATTTACTCAATTGTTGTTGGTTCCTACTTTTATAGGTGATGGAGAATGGGATTGGACAAGAAATCAAATTAAATAGCTGCAGTTCCCTTTGCCTCTGTTATATTTTCAAGCTACTTCTATAATGTGTAAGTAAACTGTGTAGTAAGCTCACAAAATATATAATAGCAATTAGGTCATCACGGAAAATGATGAATAATTGAAATGTCTAAAATGACACCAACTTTGAACAATTCAGCAATGTTAAAAGTGAAGACTCCATAAATTGCCAACAATGCAGTAGCTTTACAAGTCATTAGTCAGAGTTAGGGCACAGAATTAAGGATGCAAGTCTATAAAAATGTGTTAGTGTGAATGCAAATAAGGAATGAGGTTTGCCATGCATTGCCAGACTCAAGGAAGGGAGTGGCGAAAGGAGTTGTAAGAAAGTGATAGTGACAAGAGCAGGAGTGATGAATTCATGTAGGTTTGAGTCTACATTACGCATACTGCTTCCTTTCTGGCTTGTTTTAGGAAGAATTTAATTGTAACTTCCTGTTTCCTTTCTTACGTTTCTTGATTTTAAAATTGCTACCAGAAATTTTATAGTTGTAATTGTGAATTTCCTCTTTATTATTTGTAATTCAATACATTACCATGCCACAAGATATGCAGTAAAGCTCATACAGTGGTTATGTTGAATATAGATTGTTTGACAGACCTCAGGTGTAGATTCTGTTATTTACTTTGAATTTGGTTTTATATACTTTCCACATGTGTTAAGATTGTACTTTGTTCTTTTTGTAGTGTTTAATTTTTGTAAGCTGTCCACAGTCATGTACTGACAATTAATAAACATAACATAAACAAACAATAAGCAAGAATACAGATAGAACTAAGAGGAAAGGGGGATTCAAAGTAAGAACGGATGCACTTGCTGTGCCTGCCAGCAGTTTCTTAAAAGAAACTCCCACAGTAGCCATTCAGTTGGACAAAATATCAATCTCTATCTCTGTCTCTGTCTCTATCATCTCTATCATTCCCCCTCTATCTCTATCTATCTATCTATCTATCTATCTATCTATCTATCTATCTTTCTATCTTTCTATCTTTCTATCTATAATCTATCTGAGTTAAGGAGGCATGAAGGACTGGCAACAGGATGCAAGTGTGAATCTGGAGCTTGTGCAAAGAATTGCTCAGTTGAAATACTGCCATGTAAACTCTGTTAAGAGTGATATGAAATAGAACTTTTCAACAATGAAATGCCTACATAAACATCCAGAGAAAACATAGGCATACTAAATGGCATATTTTTCAGGGGAGTCTTCCAGTAACCTAAGCTTTCAGTAATAGTCAGTATAATTCCATTCCTCTAGAATCACATGACATTTCTGATTCAAGTAACTCAAAAGGTAATGATTGTGTCACTCAACATCATCATACACCCCCACATACAAATGTACTGTACATAGATATTTAGGACCAATTCTAACCCAATTCCAGCATCTGAATGTTAAAAATGTTAGACTCAGTTCTTAATTACTTCCTGAAGCAGCCATCTGCCCTATTTTTCAGTACAAAAACATAAAGAATTGTCAAAAAATATGTTTTTTCTATTTAAAGGCATTCTCTATCGGATGAACTCTCCAGCCCAAGACTTATTTAAAAACAGATTATCCATGAGATATAAGTAATGAAGTATTTACAAATAGTCCTTGGCTTACAACCACAACTGGGACTGTAAACTTTGAGTTAAGCAGTGCAGTCATTAAGCGGGGCATCATGTGATTACACACAATCTTACAACGTTTTGCTATGGTTGTTAACTGAGTCGCCATGTGATCGCGACTTGTAACCTTCCCTACCAGCTTCCCCATTGACTTTGTCTGTTGGAAGTCAGCTGGGAATGTCACAAATTGTGACCTCTTGTCCCCAGGATCCTGCAACCATTGTAAATGTGAGCAAATGCCCATTTTGTGATCATGTGAAACTCACAGGGATTCTGCACAGTTGTAAGTGTGAAGACAGATCGTAAGTCACTATTTTCAATATTGTTGTAACTTCGAACGGTTCTTAAATGAATAGACGTACCTCAAAGGCTAGTAAAGTACTTTCAAACTTTATCCATGTAAATAAATTTTAAAAGAGATATAATAACTCCACATTAAAAATAGCAAAATAGCCTCAGTTCCTTAGAATTATGGAAAAGAAGTAATGGTCATGATAATTTATACATTCAATTGCATTATCCAAAGTGAGAAATATTTTTGTTCCAAAAAAATATAAAAAGATTATCTCAATCTTCTTCAAATCAGTCTATTTTTCATGCGTGAAAGTCTTCATGGGCTCAGAACAGAACATTCTTTTAAAAATGCTCAGAACTGAAATTGGCAAGTCTTAAGATACTTTTTCAGATGTTTTGGCCTGACTAGAGAGATTGAAAATTATCTTAACACACCTGGGGACCTCAGAACTGATGGGGAACTCCATTATGCAGAGGACAAATCAAAGGCGAGTCCAATACAATAATAAGATGTTCTTGTGGGATATTCTTAAAGAATTTGCATGACTCTCTGTCTGCCCCATTAGGGTCTCCTGCCTGAGCAGTGGTTGGCCTAGAAGACCTCCAAGGTACCTTCCAACTCTGTTTTTCTGTATTCTGTTGTAGAAGCATGGCCTTCGAGTCTATTTCGTTGTACTTGAGAATGCCAAACAGTAGCTGAATGAATGACAACCCAGAACCTTTGAAAATGCTTATGCATATACATAGCTACGGTGATATACTCACAGCTTTCACAGCGATTTCCAGTATAGCCAGCCAAGCAGGCACATTTGTAATCACCAATTTTATCAACGAGGCAGGTTCCATCATGTAGACATGGAGATGAAGAACAACCTGAAAATGTACAAGACTTCTCAATTCCTTCCACAGACTTTCACCTCTTTTCTCTCCTTTACACTCCTTTCTCTCTTAGTGAAAGACATTTATAATGTGAGTATTTGGGGACGTGTGATAAAAAAACAAAGTGTCCTTGAAGCTGTGAGACAGGGATGTTAAAAATGCTTCTACCTAACCCATCTTCTGCCCCAATAATCCTTTTTGTGAATCAAATTTTGTTGCCCAAATGTTATCAAAAACAAGGTAATGAGATGTGATTGAGATAATTCCATGCTAAAACAACAACTTTTTTAAAAAATTGAAGCAGTTCTCAAGGGAGAAGCTTGGATACACAATTAGTGTTCTTAAAGCCAACTTATCTCTGAATAAGATATGTAATTAGCTGTGTGTCACAACTGCAAAATGATCCTTTATAGTTTTAGGGAATTAGGAATAAAGCAGCATGGAAGAAGCCACAGAGGAGAACTCTACAACTGCATTTACAGCAAAAGAGCCTATGGAGATCAAATAAAAGTGAAATGTCAATGAAGAGAGCGAGCAACACTGCAAGCTGTCTGAAAAAGTTTTTAGTGAAGGTGATGTGAAACTAAAGGCTCAAAAATGAAATGTGCCAGAGGAGATGGAAAGAATCTACCCATTATTAAATATACAGTATTGAAACTTGTTACGTTCAATATGTAAGTACTGCTCTTAGTGTCAACTCTGGAGCTGACCTGACTGAGGCCATTTTGAGGCTCCAGGGTTGCCACAATAGAGATGATGGTTAGGGAGGGGGGAATAGTGATAGCTGGGGTTTGGTAGCCAAAACAAAATAGTTTCCCTTGTGAACCAAGGACATTCCCACAGGTGGCTGAAGCAAGGAGGAATGATGTTGCCCAAGCAACCGGGTTGCACCTTGATTGGACCATGTGACTGATTGTTTGGGAGAAGGGGATTTTTTTTTTTACTTTTAATTAGGTGAAAACCATGGGAACAATTAGAGTCAGTTTTCACCAGCCTGTACCAATATGATATATCCAATAAAACTAATCTTTGAGGAACCTACCAGCCTCAGAGTTTTGTTTGCTATGGGTGCATTACTTGGAACCCTGACATTAAACCCACTTGGAGGCAGGTAGGTTCCTCAAAGATTAGTTTTATTGCATATATCATATCCAACTTAGAACCCTGACACTTAATATCATCCTTCAAAGAATGCTTAATGATAAGGTTTAAAAAACTTAACATTTAGAACTGTCATCTTAGAAAAGTTTTCCCAAAACTCCCAGCCAATACGTCAAAGTTCATGCAATCATGAATCAGGAGTTCTAGAGTTGCAATCCAAACTCAGCTGAGGTGGGAAAGATAGTCTTGAAAACATCAGTTTCCTCTTGAGGCACTGTACAGGCTTTCAGTCCATCAATGAGATCCGAACAATAAACACAGGAAGTCGGCCAAGGAAATTGTGTTCCTCCGCTTACACTGACCTTCAACTACTCTCAAGGCTTTTGTACGGGGAAAGATTTCACACAGCGGCAGTTTGTTAAGTTTGTGCTGCTGGAGGTCCCACAGCTAAGGCAAAATTTCTCCCACCCTCTTTGCTCATCATGCAAAGCACATCCCTTCTCATCAACAGTTTCATGGAACAGGTAAATGCTTTGCCAAGGAGAGCATTTTAAAAGTTTTTCATTTGAGCTGTATACAGTCAAACTGGAGTCTGCTCTGCATAGATTATCTGAGTAGCACCCACCTTATCTCTCCATAATTGCAGCTAAAAACTGGGGCGGAAATAAAGGGGGGTGGCAGTAGCGGAATACCAAGCGGTTCCCACTGAGAAGAAGAATTGAGAGCTATTAATTCCCCCTTGTATGGAATGTGTTAGTCCCTTGAGGGTGGGAGGCCTTTCTGCAACATATCCCACGTCAAGTCTCATTTCATGGAGTCGACTTTTGTCTTTTTATAGACCCTTTAATTAACATAGCCCTCCTTCTAGCAGCTACTGTGATGGTACTGTTTGTACTTTATGTAATAACAAGGGAGGGAAAAATCATGCCCAGCAGATCAAATAGGGACACAATCTAAAGTAGACCGAGCGATGGACTTTGAAGTGGCAGGACAATATTTGAGACCTATTTGAGATTCTCAAAGGCCTTCCAGCAGAAAGCCATTGGAGGCCTCCTCTATAGTCCATCTTTGTCCTGTATCCTGTCAACATTATTTTTTCTTTATTATCAATTGTCCATTGCTGTCAATGCCCCAAGACAAATAAGAATGGGTAGAGAGATCCAGCATTCTGAATTCATTCTTGGGAATGGACTTGAAATGACTCAATTCGCTGGCTCGAAAAACCATTTTTGATCTACCTTATTGTTTCAAAGAGTAAAGTATGCCTTGAATTCAGCCTTAAGTGGAAAGCTGAGGACTAGAGTCATTTTTCGATACTTCACTGTGCTATTTTTGACATGGAACTCTCTCACAATTTTTCTCCGTCCAATTTTCATAAAATGGAAGTATTGTGAAAGAAACCAGTTCACCTAAGAGGCCACATAAGAATTCTAAGTATAGATCAATGTAGTGTTGCTATGCATATGTACACATCACACTATTCTCTTGGGGGGTAAGCATCATTAGGCAAAGCACAGAAAAGAGTAAGAAACAGAAAGCCAAATGAATTAAGGCATGAGATAAAGGATAGAAAAGGGAACTACTGTATGGCTAATTCTAGTTTACCCCTTGCTACCCTTCTGTATTTCTCTTTCTATATAAACCATCCTGTTTTCACCACTGCTCACACTGTCTTTTGTCCCTTAAACTTCTCCCAGCCTCTGTCATGCCTCCATGCTCACTGTTGTTCTCTTTGAATAGAGAAACAATAGCAGCATTCTTCCAGTTATCAGGCTCAGTCACAATCTTCACACATAATTAAACAAGAAGCACAAACTTTCCATAAGCTGACTGCATTTTAACTTTTTTCCACTTAAACCTTCTATACCTATAGTCTTTCCATTTTTCAACATTTTCAGATTGTGCTTTTTGACAGGTTAACTACCATTTCTGTATAAATGTCTAAAGTACTTCTTCAAGCATTCACTCACTTTAAGTATCTTCCAAATCATTTCATTATTGTTATAATTCCTTTTATTATCCTGGAGGCTCCTTGCTTAGCCCTCATCATGTACTTCCAAAATAATAATTTATTTCCATCAAAATTACTTTTTTTTTCTGCCTATTGCAATCTTTATTGTTGACTGTTAACTTTATTGTTGACTGTTAACTTTCTCTGTGGGTGCGCCCACCCTTTGGAATCAACTCCCCCTGGGGCTCCGGCTGGCTCCTGACCTCCGCACCTTCCGCCGTGAATTAAAAACATGGTTTTCACAGCACCTAGCCTGGACTGAGAGGGTTTTCGATTATTTTAACGGGTTTTAATATTTGTTTATGTATGTATTTTATGTTTTTATTGGTTTGTTTTAATTGTTGTGAGCCACCCTGAGTCCTATGGAGATAGGGCGGCATATAAGTTATATTAAATAAATAAATAAATAAATAAATTTAGTTCCTACTATCTTTTTCTCTATATGTACCATATAGAATTTTTCTCTCATCCTCATTTTTACAGCAATCATTTCCTTTTTGTATTTATTTAATTTATACAAACCAAAGTCCAATTTTAACCCAAGGAAACTCATGGAATTCTATATAGACTACATTGCAGGCCTACAACATGCCATTGTCCAATGCCAATATCCTACCAACATGCACTGTAACGACATACATAGAACATCACAACCACTTAAATACTACTTTATTGTTTCATATTTATTATCCCTAAGAGTTATCCCCAGATCGATCTTACAACATTGACACAAATCCAGAAACTGTATCAATTTATGATGAGCCCTGCTCAAATGTAGGTAAAACTCAACAAATCCAACCCCTTCTGTACAGACCTTCCATGCATTCTGTCCTTCAGTGGGGTCTCATTCTGCCTCTATTAAGAACTGTTCCTTCACTCACTTTTGCCTCACTGTTATTCTATTCTCTGCATTTCCACTGGTAGCAGGAATTTCAGATCAGTTTCACAATGTTTTTTAAGGGAAGTGGGATTAGAAATAGTATAGTTGCATGGAAGTGACAATAATAAAAAGGAAGTAGCATTTTCAAAGAATTGTATGAATGAATACATGTAAGTTCTTAGGATTCCAATGCATAGGGTGCAGAAGAAAATATGGTGGATAGAATTTTGCTGCTTATTTGTAGAAAAAAAATATTAATATCCATGTAAAAACCATGTATCTCCCACCCTGATGGGGCTTGGTTCTTGTCCTGTGCCTTAGATAGGATGTTGTGGATTTTTAGTGGTTATATTTTCTGTTAGAGATAGTGTGTTTGTGGATTAGTAGGATAATGTGAACATTATCTACCTTCTTTCTGGTGTTTTTTAAATTATTGTTATTTTGTCTTACTTTCACCAGAGTTGTTTTGGGTAGCCTTTAAATTTCATAGATAAATCGATTTCATAAATAAATTATGCCATTTACCCATTGTAATGATACTTTCCTACACACTGTATTGTTATTCTCTTCTTCTATCTACTTAAAATTATGGGTAAATCTTACATCACAGTCAACCTAAAGTTGACCTCAAAGACATTTGGTCTGATTAGATAAGAATGCAATGTTTGCAGCTTCCAAGAATTGGGAACTAGTTAGGGGGGGGGACTAGAAAAATTGGGTTATTTGTAGATAAAATCAGCCATGGATCAATTTTTACAATTGTAATTGAGCTTGTTTTCATATTAAGATCTCAATATAATGCATTTCAATAGCATTAAAAAGTAAAGACATAAAATAAAAACAAGCTATTTTAGTTAAGCATATTTCTTACCTGTAATTTCTTCAAAAACTGCATGAAATCCATCAAAATTTTTGGAACCATCTGAATGAAAAAGGACATGAAGGGAGGAGCCAGTGCTTCGTATTGGGAGAGGCCTATCATTGCCACAGAAGCGTTTAATTAACTTGCTGTCAACACTGTCCCCATCACGGACTTCCACATAATCGTACTGACACATGTAGTCAAACTCTAGACTCAGCATGGCAAACCTTGACCAGAAAGAAAGAGACAGAACGAGAGATAGAGGACAAATTCAGACACCAAAATTATATCTCTGTTCTATTTGTGCTATAGGACTGAATTTCTACTTTGCTTCTTCTGACTCTCAAAGGTTTTTCGCCTGCATTTTTGCAAATTACACAAAACAGAGTTAATAACAGAGACCACAAGTAGAATTACTGTACTACCAACGTTCTTTCAAATCTGTAGGAAGCTTCTATCATATGAACAGCCCTCTTCCAGACTTCATCATAATTCAAGAAGACTCATTTTGAGATTGGCAGAGAATGTAGAGAAATAATCCCAAAGGTACTTTTTCAAAAGGCAACTGTAGCTCCTTTGTTTTCCTTGAAGACATTTCACTTCTCATCCAAGATATTTTCTGGATGAGAAGTGAAACATCTTCAAGGAAAACAAAGGAAGTCCAACTGCCTTTTGAAAAAGCACCTTTGGGACAACCATGACTGGATGACTGAGAATCTCCATAGACGCATAGAGAAATAATGACTCAATAGTAAAGAATATGCCTTCATGAACAAATTTCTAATTCACTCATGGAATGATCTTCCATTAATAAAGATGGCCCGAGAGCCAATGAACTGAGAATATATCCTGTTGCATTTATTTTTAATGTTTTTAAACTGACCCAGAGGCAGGCATTTATTTATTTAGATACTTTGTATTCTGTGATTGAAATTAATAGCTCTGGGGAGGAGCCAGTAAAAATTCATTTGGTGCCAGGTTTGAAATATTAGTCTGATACCTCAACATACCTTTCTCCACACATATAAAAAGAAAATTCAGTACATTAAATCCTACCTTAATTCAACCACAAATCCAGGTTTGGCATGTATAATCCACTCGCACTGGGCATTCAGTGGATAGCTCTCCAATAAAATCTGACCCTTAGAAGCTTGGAGAATCTGTCCACACCCTAAAGAGAAGGAGAAGAAAAATCACATAGATATTTATAGAAAATTTACCTCAGGAACAATGCCAAAATACAAGTTATTGGTCGTATGCACATGAGAAACTCTTCCCAAATACCTGACTAGTTTACATGACTAAACAACTAAATGAAATATTGAATAAAAGTGACATCAGCAACTGGTTAATAATTGGAACAAGTCTTGACATATAACACACCAGATTTAACTGGGGTTGAAAAGAAGAAAGTGTGAATAATTGCTGTGATAATACCAAGGAATAGTAGGAGACAAAGAATTGGAGAAGACCACAAGTATCATTATCTGACGATTGAGGTTGAAAGATTATACAGGTTTCAACCACAATTAGTGAGCCCAAAATTTATGTTGCTAAGTGAGAAATTTGTTAAATGTGTTTTGCCCTATTTTACGACTTTTCTTGCCACATTTGTTAAGTGAATCACTGCAATTGTTAAATTAGTATCACGACTGTTACGTGAAACTGGCTTCTCCATTGACTTTGCTTATCAGAAGGTTGCAAAAACTGATCACATGACCCCGGGACACTGCAACCGTCATAAATCTGAGTCGGTTGTCAAGCATCCGAATGTTAATCATGTTAATTCCACACTTATGACCATGAGGATGCTGCAATGGTCATAAGTGTGGAAAATGGTCATAAGTCACATTTCTCAGTCCTGTTGTAACTTTGAATGGTCACCAAATGAACTGTTATAAGTTGAGGACTATCTGTATCACATAAACAGGCCATGGTCCCATTGGTTATCAGCACACTGGATGACATACCCAAAAATCTTGAAGGGCACTTAGAATCTGTCCAATTGCAAAAGGCAGCTTTACTTTATATCCTATAATGACACCATTAAACAACATCTGCCTATCTCAGGTCCTTGGGAAGGGCAGAATAGATGGATAAAATTGCCAAAACATTTGGCTGGCTAAGCAACCAACCATAATAGCACTTTTCTTGCTTTCCTCAACAAAAGTAATTGCTTACATGAATTTTCTGTGGCAAAAATGGCAAAAGGAGTGACACAGGTTTTCTTCAGTCTTAAGTTCTAATATACAAACAAATAAAGAATACAAGGAGCCCAAAGACAACACAGAACGTAAAACTATTATTTTGGTACTGGCTGGTAATAACTGTTACACAATAGCACTCTTGCTTAGCTCCTTCAGATTTCAGAAAGTGTCGATCAGGAGAACTTTTATGAAACTATGGTCATTAAGAAGAACTAGTGCCATTCCAAGATGTGTTTACATTGAAACTCTGGGAATTCTTAACACATTTAGAAAACTCCAAGTAAGAGGAGGCTTCTCTAATGAACAGTGATGTGATTGAATCATCTTCAGTAACGTGCCAAATGTCCTATCTCAGTATTTCCTGTATCCTGCATAGTTCTACCTTGCTAAGATTTGTCCATTCCTATAAATGCAAATCATTTGCCAGTTTACCCTCAATTACCCTCAGCTATGTAGATTCCAATAAAACACAAAACAAGCTCAGAAAGGTCTGTCATAAGTGCTTCATTCCACACCAGGGCTTCTTGGCTCCTGATGTGAAAAACTGGAGAATTAATTACATTGCCCCCATGACTGTCATTAGGATGCTGTTGAGATATGCCAGGATCCGCTGGAAACTAATGTAGCTTCCCACACTGGGGAGAGGAAACGTAGCACAGTTGCTGGCTCTCCTCTCAAAACAACCTGAGACAAAGCTGCAGGAAACCTTCTTCAGAAGGATTGACAAGGGTCCTTGAATCACCTCAGAGAACATTCCCTTTTCATTATAAGGGGGCTTTTCTGTTTCCTTTCTTTCTCTTGCCATTGGCAAGAGAGAACTGGTGCAAAGAGATGGTGCCGTGCAAGGAATATTGAATGCACCTTTCTTTGGAGAACAGTACAATTTGAACTTGTGGAACATTTCTGCCAAGGAAGTAGGACTGGCCAACAAAGCAGGTGGTCCAAAGGCTAAAGAGAGAGCCATTCAAAGAATGCTCCAGAGAAACAAGCTTCTATTTGTCACAAACCATTTCTGTATGAAACATATACATGGTCAGATCTGATTGTCATTTTTCTGTTTCTAATCCATCCACCAGAGGGATACACGATACTTGCTCATCCTTTGATATTTAATTATCAGCCAGGCAGCTTCCAACCAAAACATACTTTTATTTCTAAAGGAAAGAGAGAGAGAGAGAAAGAGAGAGAGAGAGAGAGACAGAAAGAGAGAGAGACAGACAGAGAAAGAGACGCACAGAGAGAAACACACAGAGAGGCCGACAGAGAGAGAGAGAGACAGAGAGAGAAAGAGACAGACAGAGAGAGAGAGAAAGAGAGAGAGAGAGATTTGGAAAATTTCAAGAATAATTTAAATGCTGAACATAAATCCTGTCTTGTCTTGGAGGAGGAAGAAGAGGTGCTTAGGAAAGGAAGAGGGTCGGAATAAATTCTGAAAGGCTGTCACAATTATTGTTCCTTTTGTGTCTGGAAAAAAGATGGCAAAACTTTTTGGAACATAATTTTTGCCTGAGGCCACAGAATTAGAGTAAATATACTAAATACACTAACAGTAACAAATATTTTTAAATGTAACTTTCTTCTTAAATAGGTCTCCATGAAATCAACCACAAAAGACAAAACCACAGATTTAAACCTAAATAGTGAAAGAACTTCAGATTTAAATTCTGGCTTCTGAATGCAGTAAGAGTAGCATAAATTGGAAGAAAAGTATGCCCTAAAATAAATGGTATACTTGGTGAATTATTCAATATTCAAAATAGAGAATAAGATATGAGAGTGCAGTATCCCCTTGATTGTTTAATATGTTTATGGATAATTACACTTATAGTGACATTAGAGGTTCATTGATTTGTAATGTAAATATGTGTATTTTCATATGTAGAAAACGCCATGTAGTTGACTGAACACCCAAAGATTTGCAGCAAATGTTAAATTGTGTGATTCACACAGATCATAGATCTGTGACAGAAAAAACAGAGTGAATGCTGCAAGTTACTTCTTACTGATGAAGACAGCAAGCAGATAAACAGGCATATCTCTGATACAATGCTTGCAAAATGTAGAAAAATGGATAGGAAAAAAATAAGACTATAAATGCTGGTAGAAAGCAGTAGAAACTGGGTAGTACAGATAGTCCTCAGACCATGTGTTTAACTATAATTCCAAACTGTGTCAACTTCGGAAAAAGTGATTTGTAACCTACCCTCAAAGGTCTACCGACCCTGGCATGGCCTCCCTCATCATATGATTGTAATTTGTATGTTTCAGGTACTCGCATTTGCAATGGTTGCAGCAAATTTAATAAAATAAATAAAATAATCTTGTGATCATATCATATGATTATGATTTGCAACCTTTCCAGTCAGCTTATGCCAAGCAAAGACATTTGGGGAAGCTGGATTCACTTAACAATCATGGTAATTCATTTAACAACCATGGTAAAATGGTCATAAAATTGTTTAATGGCTGCATCGCTTGGTGACCAAAATTCCAGTCCCAATTGTGGTTGTAAATTGAGGAATACCTGTAAGTGGGCTGCTGCAACATATAAAAGCTGAACCAAGTAAAAGCTGCTGTATATAAGAGGGTACTTTTAAATGAGTGCTGAGTATGTTAGGTAAAGTCAGCTGAATTTACTGGAAATGGTTTACTTCAGAATTCTGCACAGTAAAACATAGTCCAGCATAAACAGATGATTAAGAAATACGGATTGAATACAAAAATCAGTGACCAGTCCATTCACTGAATAGGTTGTCATATAAAAAATGAAGACTGAATCCAAAACAAGCATGCTGGATGGAAAAAATTAAAGAGTTTAAAGAACACAAGAGAGTGTAAAAATTGCTATGCGGATATGAGGGAAGCAACAATATTTGCAAAGATAGTTATGGAGAATATTGTGAATTGTATTGATATGGACCAGGTTTAGTTACATTTCCTCTTCGCTTTCCTCGTGCCTTTATGATGTTTTGCTGACTTAACTCTTTTTTTTGCACATCACAGAAAGTTGCTTACCCCCAAACAAAACAGTAAGTTGGATATTTATACAGCATATGAGATTAGTATGAGGTACTTAGTATATAGCTAAACCAATTAGCAATGGTGACTTATCATTTTAATTTATTTGTATGTGAAAAATGTTCATGCAAGTTGAAAGTAATAATACAGGATGCAGAACTTGATTTGCACATGCTTAATCTGAAGCATGTTACCAGTAATTTTACGACTAATTATAACAGGAACACCACAAAGTATAGTGTATACCAAGGGTGTCAAACTCGATTGTTGTGTGATGTATTGCAATGTTTTTGACTTTGAGGAGCTGGGTTGGGTGCGGCCTGCACATGACACATGCAGTCCACGGATTGCCAGTTTGACACCCCTGGTATATACAGTACCAACCCCCCCCCAAAACACTAACAAAGCATTTAGGGCTGTAGCTGAACTACTGGATGATAAACTAAGGAGTCTAGCTGTACCTGTCTTCAATACAGCAGTTACAGCATAGATACCAGTGTCTGATGGAGACAATTGGTGCATCATTTCCAGACCTGAAGGATTACTTTTCCTTACTTACTGAAGGACACATCAGCACAGAAAAACAAGAGTCAACAACAACTAATTGATCTAACACCAGTGTCTGAAACTAGTTTAATGAAAATCGCTTGAGAAATGGAAGCTATTCTAGTGATCAAAGATGAAATTCTCTACATCTTATTGAAAGCTGAAAATAAATGATCATAGTGAGATATTAGCCCTCTGAAAGAATTATGAATGACCTCAAATGTGAAAATACTGCTTTCACAAGATAATATAATAAGCCTTATCTACATACAGTTGTTAGCATACTTCTCTTTCCTCCCATTTACATTGTTCCTTAACCCATCTCTACCCTCTTCTTCTTTATTCATTTTCATCCTTTCTGGAAGAAGTGAGGAGAATATGAGGATACTGGCTGTTTGTGATAAAGACTGATAAGATATATGTAAATGAAGATAATTGATTGTGTAAATGTACCAGATTTACAGGCAATTGACTAATTTTCCCCAGCGTGATCTACTCCAATCTGATCATTCAAATCTTTCTGTAAGGCACATTGCTATTGTATTTATGTTCCACCACCTTGCTGCTCTTCATCTTCTCCTCTTTTCCCCATCTTCACCTGACTTCTGAGGAGAGCAAGATCATAATCGGATGATTTGACCCTAGTCATTTGTGTTTTGGGTGAGGACTCTGGATTGATTTGTTCTATGAGCCATTTCTTTGTTTTCTTGGCAATCCATGGGATTCTCGTGATTCTTCTCCCACATTGATTTTCAAAAGCATCAATGCTTTTTCCATCTTGCTTCTGGAGAATCCAGTTTTTGCTTCCATATGGTGTCACATTGCCTGTCCATTTCTGATCTTTTTAGATTTAGACCCCTCACAACATCTGAATAACTTTTCTAAGACCTCCATTGCTACATTACATTATAATATGCAGACTAGCATTTGGTAAAGTTTAACTTTACATTTTAACTGATAACAGCACTACAATTTTATTCACATGTAACTGAAATTAAGGTCCACTTAATTCAATGGCATACCTCTTGGCAATTATGTACGGAAAGGAATGCTCTATTCCTGCAGTGCCTTTACTGATAGCAAAAAGGGAAGCTTTTTTTAAAAAAGAAATGATGCATTTTACAATATAGGTTTGCAGTGAACGAATCACAGATATTTATACTCAATCTACTCTTCAGATCAACATATTTCCAAAATGCACAATTCAGTATAGGGTTTTTTAAAATCAGAACTAATTGCAGTCAGTCAGTATTGCATCCATATTCAAAGGTAGTACATTTAAAATGCTGGAGTGATGAAATTTTGCGTATTATCCTTATTAGTCTTTGCACATGCAATGATTTCTCACTATAACAAGTTATTTTAAGAAATAACTAGAATATAATCGTAGTTATATTCTTATTTGTCCTGGCAAATCTCATGTGCACCACTTACAGGATAGGTCTTGATACTACAATCAAGAAAGCAAATAAACAGAAAGAAAAGGATTTCCAGGCCTTGAGATGTGCAAAGAATTGTGCTCCTGAACCAACATATTTTTCTCTCTCCCCACCCACCCAAAAGCCCTGGAAAAATATTCAGATTAGGCATAAGGACCTATTTCACTCAGAAAAAGTATTGCAGTGAAAATTAAAAATTAAAAATTAAAAATTGGGGATACGATTTAATGTTGATAGCTTTTATTCACCTGTAGTCTTCAAGGAGGGGCAGAACATTCACTTGCTAACAGTGCTCTACTTTCCAATTTCCTGACCAAGCAGAAATCTATAAACTGCCTCCTGTAAACTGTAGGGTAGCCTAGAACAGGGGTCTCCAATCTTGGCTGGACTTCAACTCCCAGAGTTCCTCAGCCAGCGAATTCTGGGAGTTGAAGTCCACAAGTCTTAAAGTGACCAAGGTTGGAGACCTCTGGCCTAGAAAGCCTCCTCCAATTCCCTCCTTCTCTCTGGCAATGGCTGTATTCTACAGAATACTTTGGACTCTGGTTAGAACCCACCATACCAGATCTGTGCTGTGCAGATTTGGATAACCATTAGATGGCAGCAAAGGGTTACAGAAAACTAAGTATTGTCCATAACAATCTGCATTTGGGGGCCCTTAGAGCTCTGGGAAATAGAATGGGATCCTGGGAAAAGAATTGGAGAAATACCTTTGGCCTTTAAAGCCCCAGTAGCTTTAGATCATTTTCCCAACCCCTAAAAAAAATATCTTTGGCTATATTGTCTTATATTTTCAAATTGAGTGGTCAATGATCATGAAAAGGAATAGGAATTTATCTTTGCTTTGACATTAGCAGCTCATTGCTGGATAAGCTATAAGGATTTTTGTTGTTGTTGTTTTCCTTTCCCAGACAAAGCATCAGCTCTCCTTGTGCTGAAGTACATCTCTGACCAATACTTACTCATGCAATCACCTCCATACCACCCTGCTCGGCATTCTGCACAATAAATGCCTTTGATGTAGAAGTTGTCTAGCGATCCTCCCCAAGACCCATTCTGACAGGTCTTACAATTCTCGAAAATCATGCAACCTGAAACAAGAGGAGGAAAAGTCTTTTAATTACGAACACTTACCTTTGGGTTTCTCCGATAGGTAGCTGCAAACTATAGCCCATGCAACCAATGTTTTTACTTTGGCTGTATAAAATGCGGCTTGGAGAAGTCCTCTCAAGCAAAACACTTCTCTAAGCCAAACACACTCAAACATAAAGAGAGAGAATATAAATAAATATAAATGAGGGCTGGATACAAAAATTACAAACATGAATTTTCCTGTAGTCTACAACAGGGGTGAAATGCTACCGGTTCGGAACGGTTCTCCCGAACTGGTAGTAAAAAATGCTACCAGTTCGGGCGAACCATTATTTCCAACAATCAGTTGTGCTGCGCGATTTATATTCGCTAGAAAGCAGGAAATCCTGCTTTCTAGCGAATCTAAATCGCACAGCAGAGCTGTTCCCCCCCTCGCTATTCTACTTACCTTTGCAGACTCAGAAAAGGCTTCTTAATCCTCCTTTTTCAGCATTGGGCAGTAGCGCCTATGGTGCTCATGCGTGCAAAGCACACTTTTAGCATGCAGCATGCATGCGGGCATGAAACAAACCGGTAGCGAAGCAAACCAGTAGCAGACTTCAGAGCATTTCACCCCTGGTCTACAATGACTGAAAAAGCGATGGCATGACACAACAACCATGTTTCATACTTATACTTTAATGTAAGATGCACATACTAAAGTCATAGCATTTGTGTTATGATGCCACAATGTACATTTCTTCACCTGACCTCTCTTCCCATCACTCACAGATGCCTACAGCTATAGAACTAAGACTTTCTCCTATTGATCTCTTCCTCCTTTTCCTGAAAATCCTCTTGTTTAAATTAAATTTACTTCCTGAACATCCTATATTGCTTTCTATCTAGTCAGATCAATCTAAACTATAATTTTAATTTCAGTAATGCCCCAATGATGGCTCAAAATTTAGATAGGATTCGGTGCTAGTTTCTGCCCTAAAATTTATGAACAAGAGTTCAGAATATATTTTATACATCTGCAAATGACAATTCATAGTCATTTGCAAATTTCAACATTAATATATAATATTCAACGTAATAAAAAGGAGGGCTGTGTGTCATTCAAAAATTATTTAGAAGTACTATGGAGCACATAGAGATGAAAGTGCAGCACTTATTTAAGCCAGTTGTATCATCTTCTGGCTTCTGTGTGAGCTAATATGTCATTTTAAAGATACAGCTGTTTTAAAGCCTCAACATTAAAGCTTACAGCAGCTTTAACTTATTTAGGCTCATTTTGAAAATCTAAAAGAGGACATGGTGGTTTTAATGAAATCTTACACTAACAATCCCATTTGGCCTGAAGCACAGCTTCTGAATAAGTTTCAAATCAGGAAGAATCCTATCGATACATATTCTTAGCAGTCTCATAACCTGCTTCTTCATATCCTTCATCTTCAACTTATTTTTTTTTCCTCAGCTGAGTTTGAAATCAATAATAATTTGTTTCTATTTTTTTAAAAAAGAAGATAGTATGCAAACTAGGCCTTGAAGACTGAATTGCAACCTCCATATAGTACTAAAGCTAACTGTAACTTTACTTTTTGGAGAGCTTCCAAGCATCCATGCTAAAATCCTGAAATGTGAGTTTCTATCACTAGAAAAAGGAAAAGACTAACAACAATATGCATTAACTTTCATCGCAGTGAGCATTTATATTGGCATCTATCCATCTCTAAGGAGGAAAAAACTATTAATCACCAAAATTTGGCAGACAAAACAGGCTGCATGCTCCATCTAGCTACAAGCATAGTTACTGCATGTAAATTAAACTGATACAGTAAATAAAAGAGTACAAGTGGGCACATCAAAGCAGTACAGTAAATCAACATACCTGGGTGAATTAGGCAGGAGTCACACTCATTGTCCTCATTCCTACAGCAAGGAATAGTGTATCCCACTACTTCTTTTTGTCCAGGACACACACATTTGATCTGATCATATTCACAACACTCCCGACACATAATATTCCATTCAGCCCCTGGACAGTTTTCATTGATCAAAGTGTACTCTGCACAAAAGCAAAGTGAGAGTTATATGAGAAAGAAGAATTAACTGTTGGCAGAACATAATCCTTGTAAGTGGAAGTCAAGTGATGTATTATACAGGGACGTTTCCTTTCATTATAAAATTAAGCTGGAGGGGAAAAGGTCTGCCAGTTGGAACAGAGGATCAGGAAGGACCTACTCAATTCTTTATTACATGTCATTTTCTTCATCAGAACTGTCCATGCTGAACTACCAGTTGAAAATCCCAGAAGAGTGCAGGGAAACGAAATACAGAGCTTTGATTAGGAAAATAGTATGGACTAAAGGTAAAGGTTCCCCTTGCACATACTATGTGCTAGTCATTCCCGACTCTAAGGGGCGGTGCTCATCTCCGTTTCAAAGCCGAAGAGCTAGCACTGTCCGAAGATGTTTCCGTGGTCATGTGGCTGGCATGACTAAACGCCAAAGGTGCACGGAATGCTGTTACCTTCCCACCAAAGGTGGTCCCTATTTTTCTACTTGCATTTTTTACGTGCTTTCGAACTGCTAGGTTGGCAGAAGCTGGGACAAGTAACAGGAGCTCACCCCGTTACACGGCACAAGGGGTTTTAACCGCTGACCTGCCGACCTTTCGATTGACAAGCTCAGCATCTTAGCCACTGAGCCACTGTGTCCCTTGGACTACTGTTCAATTAAACTGCCAGCATTTAATGGCTGCAATTTATTTCATAAAAAGAGGCATTCCATTGGAAGATGCAGCCATGGCTCCCTACTGCCACATATTATATGGCTTCATAAAAGAAAGTCATCTTTAATGTATACCACTTCCTAAGAATAAAGACATTGTGCAAGGGCTCATTTATTTATTTATTTAGTATGTTTTGAAGGGTTTTTTTTTCCAAATCAGAAAACAGGTAGTCTTTGACTTACAACCACAAATGGAAACAGGATTTCTGTTGCTAAGCAAAGCAGTTAAGTGACTAATTCCCGATTTTATGATGGGTTTGGCCATGGTTGTTAAGCAAACTATTGAAGCTGCTAAGTGAATTGTGTGGTTATTAAGCAAATCTGTCTTCCACCATTGACGTAGCTTGTCAGAAGCATCCAGGAATAAATGGTGATCACATGACCTTTGCTGCAAACATTGTAAATACATGTTGGTTGCCAAACATCCAAATTTTGATCAAGTAACCAGGGGGATGCTAGGAAAGTCATAAGGGTTAGGACCATTTTTAAGTCACTTTTTTCAATATTGATGTAACTTTGAAAAGTTGCTAAATGAATGGTTGTAAATTGAGGACTCTGCATTAAATTTCCTTAGAAGTTTTGTATCCTTTTGAATCTTTATTTAATCCAAGGCATTAAAAGAACAAGCTATTTCTGAACTTTTAAAATATAATAAAAACACAGAACATCCAATCTGTAAATGTTTACCAGACCAATGAAATAAGAGCAACTTTTCTTGGTTTAGCCTCCATATTCACACATTACCAACAACTCAATCACATGGACGCCGGCTCTGTTCAACATCAATATGGAACCTCAGGGGGAGATGAGCCTCAATTCTAAAGTTAAACATCACTTTGCAGAAGCACACCCAGCTTTGTTGCTCCTCAACATCCCAAGTTCAAAGGGCCTTCACACTTGCAACTCATCAGAATGCTAGCAACATCTCTTTTCTGCCATGTGTCTATGATATTGCCTTCATTTCTTTTCTGGCCTTTGGGTGAGACAGTCGTAAGTTGTAGTAGCTGTAGTACTGTTAAAATAATGTTAAAACTTGCCTCCAGAAGTTGTAAATGCTCCAACACTGGAAGTTTTTAAGAAGAGATTGGACAACCATTTGTCTGAAATGGTATAGGGTTTCCTTGCCTGAGCGGGGTTGGACTAGAAGACCTCCAGGCTTGTTCTGTTCTGTCTAGTCTAGTCTAGTCTAGTCTAGTCTAGTCTAGTCTAGTCTAGTCTAGTCGAGGTCGAGGTCTAGGTCTAGGTCTAGGTCTAGGTCTAGGTCTAGGTCTAGGTCTAAGTCTAAGTCTAAGTCTAAGTCTAAGTCTAAGTCTAAGTCTAAGTCTAGGTCTAGGTCTAGGTCCAGGTCCAGGTCCAGGTCCATTCCCATTCCCATTCCTATTCCTATGTCTGTTCTAATGTTCTGCCCCTTAAGCAGACAGCATGCAGTGCAAGATTTGTTATGGTTCATCATATGTTCAGGATGAATCCCTGATCAGCCTGATTTGCCTTCACTCTCCTGTTGTCTCTCTAAAAAACCGGACACAGCAGCACTATGGATGTGCTGGTGGGTTATCTGAACTGTGCTCAGCATTGGATTGTTTAGATGCCAATACTCTGAAATTGAAAAATACGCAAGCTGGGCAACGTAGGAAAGAACAGCAAGGTCTAGAGCTCAAATGGCTTTTAATTAGCTGCCTCCAAACTCAGCCAGTAAAAAAAAAAAAAAAAAAAAAAAGCCAGAATAGCTCTTTTGGGAAAGGGAACCAAATTATATTATATCTGCCCCCAGCTAGATTTCAGAGTCATCATATCACTATAATCCCAAATCCATTGGAATAATTTCCAATGGCAGCCCAAAAATCATGTTTCTGCCCTCTTTCTGGGATAAGACATAAAAGGAATTTGCATTCAGCAGAGTTTCAGATACTATCAGCAGATCATCTGGCTTTTGGCTGTTTGGGCTACCTCACATTGGACTACAGGTAATCCTTGATTTAAAATTGTTCATTTAATGACCATTCGAAGTTAAAATGGCACTGAAAAAAGTGACATGACCATTTTTGAGACTTACAACCATTGCAGCACCCCATGGTCACATGTTCAAAATTTAGATGCTTGACAACTGACTCATATTTATGACGGTTGCAGTGTCCTGGGGTCATGTGTTCACCTTTTGCAACCTTCTGACAAGCAAAGTCAATGGAAAAGCCAGCTTAACTTAACAACTGTGTTACTAATTTAACAACTTCAGTGATTCCCTTAACAACTAGGACAAGACAGGTTGTAAAATGGGATAAAACTCATTTAACAACTGTCTCGCTTAGCAACAGAAATTTTGGGCTCAATTGTGGTAGTAAGTCAAGAACTAATTGTATCTATCTGGAGCTTCTGCATTCCTGCACTCAATGGAGGACACAGAAGCAAGAACACTTCAGAATCTCCCTAATTTTCTGTTCTGAAATGAATGGATCTGATATGACCATGTCATATGCTAGGTGTTATGGACTGAGTATATGTATATGCTGTCAGCTGAAGAAATTGAATTAAATCAGAAGGTACCAATCTCTGATATTTGCAATAAAAAGTATATGTTCCAAATATTTCTAATTATTCAGTCTATTAGGGAAAAGAACAGTGTTATAAATATTAATAGAAGCATTATGATTAGTAATGCTAGTAACTAGAACGAATTCATTTTCTAGTAATAAAAAATAAAGGCATCTAAAGGCATTATAGTTATAATAATTTATACGCAGTTGTGCTTTAGGGCATTCCATCTTAAAAATTTACATTAATTTCCAGGCACTTAATCCTAATACATTATGCTCCATTGAAATATACTTATCTGCAAGTATTACTGGGTTGAATAGGCAAAATCTTGGCATGAAAACAGAGAACTGAACTCCAGCAGTAAACTTTTGTTAGCAGATCTGTTGTATGGCCTAATTTATCTGTATGTTATTTGTTTGGTAATCTAAATAATAAAGCACTACTCCAAGGAAAATGTGGGATTTACTGAGAATGAAACCCATCAAGTATAAAGTGTTATTAAAACAATTGTGCTAATTATTTTTTGAAAAATATTACTTTTGGGGGGAGGTGTTCCACTCTGATTTCATTACAGCTTTTACAAGCAGATGGGATTATTTAATTAATCAATGATTCTACAACCAGGACAGGACACATAATGCTTGTAATGAGATATGACATGCATAACCCATTGAAGTGGTTTATTCATACTTATTACAGACAATTAATGCTGACTTTTTAAAGCAATGAAGAGCAATTAAATATGCAATTTGATTCTGAATGAACATTAGAAGTCTTTAAAGGTAAGACATTTCTACAAAATAAGTCCTCTAGGAAATGACACTGATTGGTTTTGAAGAAATGATTCTCCCATGCAGGAGACATAACTCATTTCAACCAAACATTTAGGATGTAGGAAAAGGCGGTAATGTGGAAGACTCGTAGCCTTCTACTGCAGCTCTAATTTCTCAGCTACATGACTTTAGGATTATCCATGGCACACTGTTAGAGCAAACCAACCCAGAAAAACTTTCAGCTAGTGGTCCAGGGAAGGTTTGAGGTGGTTGCCTTAGACTCAAACTATGGGCAACCTCACAGCATTGACCAAAGCCACCAACTTGAAATTACATCAGCTAGTGCAATAGAAAAAGGTTCCTCTCAGCCTTCTCCCAAGTTTTTCAGAAGAAGGCTGAGAGGGCCTCCAAGGAAAAAAACAATAACATAATCATGGAGGAATCAGGTTGCTTCACAAAGCAGCTTTGAAGTGCTTTGCTTTGAACTTTCACTAAAGTGAAACATTCCTTTGAGGCTTCACAGAGCTCTAGGTCAGCCTTACCAGGTAGACCAGATAGGAAACATGGTCAGATAAGCTACTTCTACTTTATTGTAAAGCAGCATTTACAGAATCTTGCAAGTCTGAAAATATAATTCTCCTGCGGTCACCTGTACAGCCTTATAACTTAGGAAGAATATCTCCTGAATCTCTCGCTTCACCTACTGTGCAGCTGTAGGTAAGCTCCCTTATCCAACTGTTCCTTAAGCATCTTTTTGTCAGTTTCCCAAGGTCCTTCACACATACCATTATACCCTAGCACAGTGATGGCTAACCTTTTTGCCATCACGTGCCAAAATTGGGGGGAATGCGGGGGGGTGTCACATGCGCGCGTGCCACAACCATTATTCTATGCACCTTGCGCATTGCATGTGACCCCCCCATGCTCTCCCCGCTTTTGGCATGTGATGGGCCCAGTAGGCCCATTTTTTG